TTGAAAGCTAGGCATGCATGGTGGTGAGTGCTTAAAATTCTAGCAATGTTGAGGAGAAGACAGGAGGATCCCTGGGGCTCACTGGCCTGCCAGTCTAGCTAAATCTGCTAGCCCCAGGTCCCAGTGAGAGACCCTGTCTCAAAAAGTAGGGTTAGCAACTTCTGAGAACTGACTAGCCTCCATGTACAAATGTTACACGCACGCACACACACAGACACACACACACACACACACACACACACACACACACACACTCACACAATGTAAAGACTTGATTGATTGATTGATTGATTGACTGATTGATTGAAGGTGAGAGAACAGCATGCTACAGTGTGTTGGAAGTCAGAGGATAACTTCCGAGTATCCATTCCGGGTATCCACATGGGTCCCTGAATTTGAACTCAGGTCCTCAGGCTTGGCAGCAGGTACTTTTACTTGCCAAACCATTTTGCCTGTTCAAAATTTTTTAATTGTGATGAAGTATGGTTTATCTTTTTTTCTTTTGTTTTGGTATCATGTGTAAAAAGCACTGCTTAATTAACTCAAGACCCTGAAAATTACTCCTATTTTTCTTTTCTGAGAGTTTAATAGTTCTGACTCTTTCATTTAACTTTTTTAATCTGTTAAAATAATTGTGTGTGAGAGTGTGTGTGTGTTAGGCATTCAGCTTTTTAAAACAATTTTGTTTTTATTTATATGTATACGTCTATGTGAATATATGCTATATGCTTGGGTGCTTGCAGAGGTTGAAAGAGGATGTTAAGCCATGGAGCTGGAGTTACACAGACTTGTGGGCAGCCCAGTATGGGTGCTAGGAACTCAACTTTGGTCCTGGAAGAGCAGTAAGCAGTAACGACATAGCAATCTCCCCAGCTCATCCCACCTCACCCTGTGCGCCTTTTTGTTTATGTCAGCATCATTTGTTCAAAAGAGCTCTGTCATTAAACCATTGCCTCGGTGCTCTTACTGAAAGTTTCTCCCCACTCTTTTCTTTTGTTCCTAATATTTTTTCTATAGAACAGATTTATTGTTTTTTTTCCCTCCCTCCCCCTACCTTTTTTATTTTTTATTTTTAATGAGACAGTGTCTCTCTACATACCCCTGGCCTTCCTGGAACTTGCTCTATAAACTAGGCTGGCCTCAACGTCATGGAGATTCACCTGGCTCTGGAATAGCCTCTTGGTGGTGTTCATCGGGGCAGATGGAAGTTGTCTTTTGAACTGATGGTACACTTCACAAGCCTGTACTTGGTGAGAGAAGTTGCCCCTCTTGATCTTTTAAATAGTTGGTATTTTAGCACACTTTACAGTACTCTTAAAAACTTTTTAAAAGAAGACCACCTCACCAAGGTTTGTGGTGCATGCTGTAATTATGGCTTTTCTATAAGACCCTGTTTCCAAGGAAGGAAAGGGGCAAACCTCAGGTGCTTGGGCATTTGACAGTGTGATTTCCCTAGAGGAAACTCAGCCAGCTGCTTTCTTCTGTGTGACAGCAGGAATAAGTATGGGTGTATTAAAAAGGAATCATTGGGGTATAATGTTAGATATTACATTGGCACTTGTGATGATGAACTGATTTGAGAAGTAGTGTCAGTTACTGTGAGGTAGGTCATTAAGAAAGCTTTATAAAAAACTGTAATCCCTGGGGTGACCAGGAGTGTAAAGATGAGGTTGCACTACTGCTCTGCTTCAGGGAGATCTGGAGGGTAGTGTCATTCAGCAGAAATACAGTGTAGGCCTTCCTTGTAATTTAAGATTCCAGTGGCCACATTCAACAAAGTAAGAAGAGTCGAGTAAAATTAATGATATGCTTTAATTCATATATAAAACATCTTAAAATGTAATACATAAAAAATGCTAAAACGCCGGGCGTTGGTGGCGCACGCCTTTAATCCCAGCACTCGGGAGCAGAGGCAGGCCTGGTCTACAGAGTGAGTTCCAGGACAGCCTCCAAAATAATACAGAGAAACCCTGTCTCGAAAAACAACAACAACAACAAAATGCTAAAACATTTTACCTTTTTTGTACTGCTTTAGAAATCCATTATGTATTTCACAAAATATCTCTCAGTTCTGATTAACCACACTGCTCCTGGCGCTCAATTTTGTGGCCAGTGGCTGCTGTATTGGGCAGCACAGCTCCAGCTGTTCTGATATGACAAGTGAACTATTTTGGCATTAACATTTTAAATCTGAATTTACTCATCATGGTATGCTGATCCTCTTGTAACTGATAGAACTGGATTTCATGTACTTTCTGCCTGTGTGTTCAATGTAGTCCTTACTGGAAGGAGCTAGGTCCTGTCCTCTTAGAACAGAAAGTCTGGGAAGTTTAAGTTATGTAGATAGTGCAACAGTTGAGTAAGTAAGGAGACACAGGTACGTATGGGTTCCAAATGAAAGGAAACAGACTCATTTTCTCCTGAGATCACAGATGTTTTCTGTTCTTCTAAGGAGAAATTGTCCGTATGAAGTGCCAGCACTCCGTAGTGGGGTTGGTTTTGGCCTCCACTCTTGGACATTTGTCAGTATCTAGATAACGTTTTTTGTGGTCACAGCTGTGTGTGTATACACATTTATGCATATGTACATTACTGGCATTTGGCTAAATTTGGAAAATAACTTGTGCCTTTAATTAGCATGGCATGTTTCAGCTGTCTCTGAAGTTTTGTGTATGGACCATAACAGTTTGTCTAAAATCACTGATAGAAATATGTTCAAGGAATCTGTCTAATACTAGTCAGATTTCTGGCAGTTTTCGAAGTGTGTTATTGACCAAATAGGTCAGATGGATGTGTCCACACTCTGGGAAAATGTGGAGAGTCTGTAACATTTCTCTGCTTCCCCACTTAACCCCATTCCTGGGACTTTTCATTCTTCAGGGCAGTCTTTAAAGCTTCCAGGAAAATATTGTACTTTCCTAAGTCCTGTTAGAAGTGAGGCCTGTGTTGATGATTATTCACTTTCAGTTTCTAACGTCTGTTGCCCCTGGAAAAGAGCTGGTGTTTTCCATGGTCATGCATTCCAGCAAGTGAAAATCAGTGTAAGGTGTGTTTTTCTTAGCGTCCATTAGCTGTCCACTAAAGGAGGAACACTTGGTTGTTTGCCCTTTGTTTTCCGTGTTACTCCAGCTCCACTCCTTTCTGCTGACATTGGAGTTTATCCTGATTGCAACCTTCATTTTGTATTTGCGGTAGTTATTGTCCTTTAAAAAAGATAAATGCAGTAGTGTTTGTGACATTCTCTGGCCCTGGTTTTACACAGCATCCCAGGACAAACTAGCACCTCTCCTCTGATGGCTGACCTTTTTGGGGCTCCAGGCTGGAGCAGGAGTCTGCCTGTGCTTCAGGGAAGACGTGAAATTAGCTTTCCACCATGAAGGGAGTAGTACTGGCCCCAGAGGAAACCCATGTGCTTTTAGGAAAAGAAAGAGTATGTGTACTGGACAGTGGAAAATAGCACTTACCGAGCACATGGGTACTATTACTATTCTCCTTGCTCCTTAGCTGGTCATCTCTTATGTTACCTTTCTGATTGTGCCTCTGGGGAGTGATTTCCTCAGTCTGGCAGGAGTGGTTCCTGCCAGTGCTTTTCACTCCTTTTGCAGGGAAAACAATAAGACAGCATAACAGCCAGGTGGGCTTTCCCATCCATACTGAGAATTTGGTCTGTAGAACAGGCTAGCCTTGAACTCACAGAGATCCACCTGCCTCTGCCTCCTGAAGGCTGGGATTAAAGGTGTGCACCACCATCACCCAACTCATCCTTTATTTCATAAAATCTCTGTAGCATCAGGCTTAAAACCTTCTTCTTTAGACTAAAATGGGAATTGTAGGCAGCTGGTCTGTGAACCTGGAAAGGTAACTACACCCCTCTGGGTGTGACCTCAGGCAGATGGAAGCCAAAGGAGGGACGCTTGAGGCATGGCTTTCATTTCCTTGTCTTGCTGGTAGGTGAGCCAATCTGGTAGGAAGGGCAGGGAAATGCTCCTGCTGTTCTTGGTGTTTTCTGTGTAATTATTCCCCAATAAACACTAATTTATCATTACATCATTACAACCTCACCGTCAATTCTCATTATGAATGTTTTACTTTTAGGTGAGTAAAATTAGTATTAAAGTGTGTTATCCTTGTTTTATATGAGCCCTCCAACCTTTTGCTTATATTTCTGTCCTTTGTGAAAGTGTATTAAACAGTCGGATGGTGGTGGCGCACGCCTTTAATCCCAGCACTAGGGAAACAGAGGCAGACTGATCTCTGTGAGTTAGAGACCAGCCTGGTCTACAAGAGCTGGTTCCAGGACAGCCTCCAAAGCCACAGGGAAACCCTGTCTCGAAAAAACCAAACAAACAAAAAGTATATTAAATATCACTTAATCTATTGGGAATAACTAGAAATGACCATCGCAAATCATGTTTAGTGTATAGACTATATAAGACACTATTTTCAAATTTGAAAGTACTGTTTTTCCTTTTCTGTTTTTTTGCAGAGTAGCTGTGATAAGCAAGGTTAAATTTTAAAATAAACTTAACTTTTTAAACTTAGAAACCTAATCCTATTCTGGTTATTTATGTGGCAAGGAAAGGAAGTCTCTTTCTTTCTTTCTTTCTTTCTTTCTTTCTTTCTTTCTTTCTTTCTCTCTCTCTCTTTCTTTCTTTTTTCTTTTTTTTGGGGGGGGAGTGGGTAGGTCAGAGTTTTAGGGTGTTTTCTGTTTGTTTGTTTTTAAGTAATTTCAATAAAATTTTATAGCATTGTCTGAAAAAATGCTGAATCTCTGAATGAAAAGTTGCTTGTAAAAATACTTGTTCATTGATAAAAGAGAAGGTTGCTACACTTGCCCAGCCTGTGTGATGCACTGTTTGAATTCAGCTGAAATGAGTGGAATGACTTTAACTGGACTCTCTTCTTAATGTGTGACAATTTGTTTTCATCATACAAAGAAACTCAGATTGGTGCATAATGCATGATTGGCCTTTGGTAAATCTTTTTTCCTGCTGTTTCAGGCCGGAGCCTCAACAGAAAGCTCCTTTAGTTCCTCCTCCTCCTCCTCCTCCACCACCACCACCACCACCGCTGCCAGACCCAGTTCCTCTAGAGCCAGAGGAGGAGATTCTCGGATCAGATGATGAGGAGCAGGAGGACCCCGCAGATTACTGCAAAGGTGATGTGGTGGGATGGTAGGGTGGGCTTGGTTTCCTTGCAGGGCTACCCAGTAAGTTGGGGGATGGGCCAGGGTAGTTAGTGCTGTAAACTACTTGATATTTGTTAAGTTAGCCTCCTAAATTGACTATAGAATGATGCCCAACAGTGTAGGTAATAGGAATTATAAAAGAAAGAAAAATGGTTTATGTTTATACATACTCTGGGCACCTTGAAACACATTTGACCACTTATAAGAAACAAGGGCATAGGAAACCATCCAAGAAGAGCATGGGGAGCAGAAGGTACCAAGCTCCTTTTATATTTTGGCTTTCAGCTTTCTGCTGGTTAGACTAAAAGGGAAACATTCCCTTCCTTCTGTAGATTGCATTGCGTTGCTCAGTACTCCTTAATGTTTGTGGAAAGAAAGCGTGCATGTTGTTTACAGAGAGACTTTCTTTGCATTGTGCTTAATGAAGACATCCTATTGGTTGGCTTTGCTGCTATGTGTAGATTTTGCTTTCATCTATGACTCCACAGAAGACACAGAACCTATTGAAATAGAATGTTCTTGTACTGATGTTTAGACCAAGAGTATTCAGTTAAAACTCCTAAGCAGCAAGCATGTTGTGTGATGAATATTGAGACCACCAGGAGCTGGCTGTACTTTGTATAGACTGGAGTCTGAAGGTCTCAAAGAAAAGGAAGTTGCAGTCTCTTTGGCTGTCTTTGTTGTCTTGCTCACTGGGATTTTCATTCCCTGCAATCTGATTGTTTGTTGTTGATCAACAAGATAGCTTACCTGCTGCAGAGTTAATCATGTAATCAGATTCTGTATAACAAAGGTAAAATGACAGAAGAGGCATATATGAATCCTATGCAGTCAATTGTGCTGTTGGCTAAGTAACAGTGTAGTTCAGTTTAGTATGAAAGTATAAGAACTAAGTTTCTGTAATATTCCCGCCCCCCACCATCTGTATTTCTTGGTTTGGGAAATGCAGTTGTTGTGGGGAGCTATGGATTACTGTTTTATGATTTTGCTGTTGACTTGTAGGAGTCATTATTTAGGAGCTGGTCTCTTCAACTAACAAGCTGTTCCATGCTGGCATGAAGCTAATATTTTTAAAGACCTCTGTGAACCAGCACAGGGGACATTCCATTCTCACATAGAAGACTAAGAATGAAGAATCATATAGGACTGATTTAGGTAGAATTTATGGAACTCTGAGCATTCTAAGAGTATTAAAGTCAGTCTCAAAAAGGCATACTAGAGATGGTGACAACTTTTGCTTTCACCATGTGGGCATGCTCAGAGTTTCATGCTCATGCTGGTGTTTTGCTATCACTTTTGCTCATCATTAAACGTGGTAAGTAACTTGTGCCTTTAATTAGCATTGCATGTGTTAGCTGTCTCTGAAATTTTGTGTATGGACCATAACAGTTTGTCTAAAATCACTGATAGAAATATGATCAAGAATCTGCCTATACTAGTCAGATTTCTGTTGCTGTGACAAAACACTGGAGAAAAGGAAGAAAAGGTTTATTTTAATTCATGGTGTTAGATTTCAGTCCTTGGTTACTTGCCCCTGTATTGCGTCAGGGTATGTCTAGAAAGTGGCCAGGAAGGAGAGAAAAGAAAATGATAGATTCCTAATTTCCTAATAGCCAGTTCAAAGACATGCCTTACAATAACCCAACTTCCTTCTAAAGGCTGTTCTGCTTCCCAGTGGCACCATGGGCCTTCAACACATGGCCTTGAAGACACATAGAAGATTAAACTGTAACAGAATCCTAGGAGTGGACTGAGGATATCTGAAGGAAGAACTATGGCCTTCATGGTTTTTGTTTTTTCAAGACAGGGTTTCTCTGTATTGTTTTGAAGGCTGTCCTGGAACTAGCTCTGTAGACCAGGCTGGTCTCGAATTCACAGAGATCCGCCTGCCTCTGCCTCCCGACTGCTGGGAGTAAAGGCGTGCACCACCAACGCCCGGCTTGTTTTTTTTTGTGTGTGTGTGTCACCTCTGGGCAGTTTTCTGTGTAGGAACTATAGTAGTAGGCTGTGTGGTTTATTCCGTTTCTACTTCCAGGCCAAAGCACATGAGTTGGAGATGGGAACAAACACTTCTAGGAGGTCTTCTGTAATATGTACTGGCCTCATGAGTATTTGCAGAAAAGCCATGTCAGAGTTTTTAAGAGTCTCAGGAGTCCTTTGGGAGTCTTGCCAGCCCTTTAGCATACATTGAAGGCTATGGTTCATCCACCTAGAGTGTGTATAGTAATCTATGAGTATATGTGTGTATTTACATATGTATACAGGTGGTCCTCTGTGTGTGTCTCTGTGCACATTCATGGAGGCCAGAGGAAAATGTTGAATGTTTAGCTCTGCCTTATTCTTTTGAGACATGATTCTCACTGAATCTGGCGGAGTTCAACTGCTTTTGACTTGACTGATTGGTCAGCAAGCCTGTCATCTTCTTTTCTCCCCTTTAGTTAGTAGGTACATACGTCCCCTCCTTGCCCATATATGGTTGCTGGGGTCTGCGCTCAGATCATCATGTTTGCATAGCAAGAGCAGTTACCCACTGAGCCATCTCCCAGTCCATGTGCCATACTTCAAAAATTCCAAGAGTACAACTAAGTGTTGGTCTTTTATTCCACTCTACACCATCTAAGGCAACACTTTAATACAGTTCCTCATGGTGTGGTGATCCCCTCCTAACCATAAATAAAACTATTTCATTACTACTTCATAATTTTAATTTTCCTGTTGTTATAAGTAATTAAATATCTGATATGCAGGAGAAGTACTACTTTGAAAGACCTGATGTTCCTTTCTGGAACCCTCAGTGTACAACTACTATAATGCTCCACTGAATAGCAACAATAGAAATATGTTGTTGGTTTTTTGTTTTTGTTTTTTTTTTTAATCTTAGGCTGCCTGCTCTGGCTGGCTCGCTAGGTTCTCAGCTTGTAGTTCTCAAGTCATTGTTTGATGAGTTGGCAGCTTTGTAGTGTTTCATCACTGTGTGAGAAACTGATTTCGACACATTTGTGGTCTGACTTGGTATGAAAGCATGTTGTTTCCTTGGACATGTCTTCATGCAACCCTAATTAACTGTTAGGACATCCCCCTTTACTCCCAGCAGTCCCCTCCAGCACAGGAGGTTCAGAAAGGAAATCTAAGTTCACAAAAAAACTGTAGCATTTGTTTAAACATACTGTCCAAATTTCTAGAGATACAATCTGAATGCTACTAAAATTATAAGAACTCTGGAACATCCGGTGGCATTTTTAAGATTTAATGTGTAAGTGAAAAAAAAACTGGATTCTATAATTTACAAATTCTTCAGGTCTGTCAGCCTGTTCACGTGCTGACTTGTCAGACACTCACAATATCAGTACACCCCTTTTTTGTTTGTTTCTTTTTGGTTCTTTGAGACAGGGTTTCTCTTTGTAGCCCTGGCTGTCCTAGAACTTACTTTGTAGACCAGGCTGTCCTCAAAATCAGGCATCAGTCTGTTTCTGCCTCCCAAGTACTGGGATTAAAGGCATGCATGAATCACCATCTCTTGGCTTCACACTGACAATTTTAAAAGAACTCCTTTGTCAGAACAAAAATACAGTTCCTGCACTTGGATAGCTCAGATACAGTCAGATTAGCAAAATACACAGTCTCTAACCACAGGAAATTTCTTATTAGTAAAAAGGAAGACATAAGTGAACATTAAATAAATGTCTAATTATGTATCATGATAGTGCTGTGCTAGAGGGGACTGTTGGAAATAAAGAGGTTTGCATAGAGAAATGATTCAGTCCGCTGCTTGCCACACGCCTTTAATCCCAGCACTCGGGAGGCAGAGGCAAGCAGATCTCTGTGAGTTCAAGGCCAGCCTGGTTTGCAGAGAGAGTTCCAGGACAGCCTCCAAAACAATACAGAGAAACCCTGTCTCGAAAAACCCAAAAAAAAAAAAAAAAAAAGAAAGAAAAAAGAAACGATACAGTGGGTTTCAATGTGGTCCTTCTAGGTATTCCTGACTTTACACTTTATTCTGTCTTTTTTTCCTCAAGACAAAATTCACTTTTTTCCCCAGCATAAGTGTATGTGCCAACAGTAAAATTGATTCTTCTGGAGAGAGAGCAGTTGTCAGCAACCCAACATGGGTCCTAGGACTCACAGTCAAGCACTCTTAGCCCCTAGGCCACATCTTCAGATACACATTTTTTTAAAAAATTTAACTTTCTCCCCTTTGTTTTCTTAATTGATCGTTTTGTTTTTTTTTTAAATTGTTGTTGCTGGGATTAAAGGCGTGCACCACCAATGCCTGGCTTGATCTTGTATTTCTTTTTCAAATTGAAAAAAAATGCTTAGAAAAAAAGAGAACATTTAGTGCCCAAACTAATTTTTTATAGAGATAATCTCTAATTAAGACATATTAATTGGAAATCTATTGCTATTGGAACATACTGTATATGTTATGTGTCCATATATGTGTGTGTGTGTTTTGTTATGTTTTGAGATAGTTTTTTGTAGCCCGGACTGAACTGTGTATCCAAGGATGGCCTTAAATGCCAGATCCCCGTCTCTGCATCACATTTGTTGGGATTGTAAACACAGTCCACTAACAGAGAGGTGGGGTGTGAAGCAAAGAGCTTGTTGGGGGTAGTTCCTTCAGGTTGGCAGTGGTAAAAAGCCTCCCAGACTTGGTGCTATAGAGTGTCTGGGAGAAGAGCAGTGCCTTCTTGACAGTGTGCATCATAATGGGTCCTGAGTTAGGAGGCCACTTGTTATTTCTTTGTGGCTTTGACTTTTGCTTGCTATGCAGAAGTTCAGAGACAGATGTGTATAGCCCACCTCTACAAGTGAGCAGAGGTACCTGCTCTTTGTCAAGCCATAATAGCATTCTTCTGTTGTATTTATTCTGGGCCTTTTTTTCTTTATTATCATTACTGTTGTTATTATTGTTTGTTTTTCCCAGACAGGGTTTCACTGCTTTAGCTCTGGCTATCCAGGCTGGCCTTGGA